TTCTACTTCGGGTTAGAGGAGTTGTAGGACTGCCCCAGCAGGGGGGAAGCAAGAATGTCAAGGGCAGGCCTTATGGAATTAGAATAGCGCGTGCACGTGTGTGTGTGTGTGTGTGTGTGTGTGTGTGTGTGTGCATGCGCGCGCAATAAATAATTTATCTAGTCCCAGATGGTGCTATTAGTGTAGTATGATATTAACACTCATGTTATTTAATTCTGTTCTTATAGCAGTCCTGAAAGTCTGGTGCCATATTCCCAATTTATGGACACTGGAATATAGCGGGCATCTGCTGTCTTTTCTTATCCGACCTTTGCCCCTTCTTTTGCTATTAGCACACAGCTCAGGTAGAAATGATCCCCTGTCAGCTCCTTGTGCCTGAGAACTGGCCAGTTTGAACATCCTCCCCCTCTGGCCTCTGCAGTTGGTTCAGGGTGCATGCATGAGGCCAATGAGAAGCTGACATGGAACTTCTGTTGGAGGTTCAGGCACCCGCTTGTCTTTTTCTTTGGCTTGGTGAGCACAGGCTGTAGAATGCGAGCCTAGAGGAGATAGAGGCATCCTAGCCTGCCTGAGAATAATACCGACTCCAAGGAAAGAGAAGTGGAAAGAGGAGACTAGATTCAGTTGTCATTGGAGTCTCTGAATCCAGACACCCCTCAAGCCAGAACATCCTTGGACTTCTCAGTTTGTGAATCAGCAAAGTCCCTTTTGCCCTTAGTCCAGCTTTGGTCTGGATTTTTTTTATCTTTTAATGGAAAGAATCCTGTGAGTCCATTTTAGAGAGTGCTATGGACCACACGTTTGTGTCCCCTCAAAGTTCATATGTTAACGCCCTAACCCCTGGTGATGGTATTTGAAGGTGGGGCCATAATTAGGGTAGATGAGGTCATAAATATGGGGCTCTCATGATTGGATTAGTGTTCTTTTAAGAAGAGGAAGAGTCTAGATCTCTCTCTCTCTCTCTCTCTCTCTCTCTCTCTCTCTCTCTCCCCTCTCTCTCTCCCTCCCTCTCTCCCCCCACTCCCCTCTCTCTCCCTCCCTCCTACTTGACTGTTTGAAGATTCAGGGAGAAGGCAGCTGTCTGCAAGCCAGGAGAAAGCTCTTACCAGGAACAGAATGGGCTGGCACCTTGATCTTGGACTTCCTGGTGTCCAGAACTATGATGAATAAATGTTTGCTGTTTAAGCTACCCAATCTGTGGCGTTTTGTTATGGCAGCCTGATCTGACTAAGATGAAGAGGATACATGCCTTGTGTAATTTACACAACTAGTGAGCAGTGGAGCAGGATTTGAACTCAGGTCTCACTGACCCCAAGTCCATGATGCCTCAGTGGAAATAAGAGCTCTGCTGGAAGGAATGGATGGAGCAGATGTTGACTTTAGTTTCAGCTGGATGAGAAAGGTTGGGTTCCAAGTGGGCTCTGTAGTGGGTCCAAGTGCAGGGAGGAAACAGGTGGCTTTCAAAATGCAACTGAATTCACTTCACCGCTTGACTGAGTCAGTGTTGTTTGAACTTCAGGTGCCAAACTGAAAGAAAATAGTGATTTTTATGTGGGAGGTACTATGCTGATACCTTTGCAGGCAGCATCTCATTCAACTGTGAGAAACTCTGGGGGAAAAAAAAAAAAATATATATATATATATATATATATATATATATATATATATATATGTGTGTGTGTGTGTGTGCGCGTGTGTGTGTATTTTTACATATATTTTTATTGATTTCATAGAGGAAGGGATGGGAGGTTGAGATAGAAACATCAATGATGAGAGAGAAGCATTGATTGGCTGCCTCCTGTACACCCCACACTGGGGATTAAGCCTGTAACCCGGGCATGTTCCCTGACTGGGAATTGAACCATAACCTCCTTGTTCTTAGGTCGACGCTCAGCCACTGAGCCACGCCGGCCGGGTGGAATTAGATATCATTATCTCCATTTGACCAGGTGATGAAAATGAGGCCCAGAGTCACACAGATAGATGGCAGAGCTGGGATGGAACCTGTTATGAACAGAACTGTGTCTCCCCCCAATCATGTGTTGAAGCCCTAACCCCCAGTGTGACTTGCTTGCATTTGGAGCTAGGAAGGTAATTAAGGTTAAATGAGGTCATAAAGGTGGGCCTCGATCTGATCGGACTAGTACCCTTGTAAGAAGAGGAAGAAATACCAGAGATTGCTCTCTGGCATGCGAGGACACAGCAAGAAGGTGGCTGTCTGCAAGCCAGTGTTGTAATGTACCCTGCAAATCACACAAGGATGCCTCAAGAAGTCGAATTAAGGAGCCACATTTATTTCAAAGCCGGGACTACGAGGGGGCAATGCTCTCCAAATCTCGTAGTCCCTCTTGGCCGGAACATCAGACTTATATAGGCAAATATTACAAAGATATTGATTACATCTCGAGGTTTGGAATGAGGAACCTGGTTTGCAAAAAGCAGTTTGATACAGAAGCTTAGATTGAGCAAGTTAGTTACAAAGATTAATTATAGTTTCGGGTCTTGGGACCACTGAGTCAACGGAAACACATTATCTGGAGCCACTGAGTAATTGTGCTGTCCTGGTCTCCAGGTGCAGGGGAATGTGTTTCGAAAGACCAGTAAGATTGCTATCAATGGGGGTATTCAAATCAATGGAGTATTCAATCGAATGGGATAACTTATATAAGTTCAGAAAATCAAAATAACTTTTCTATTATTTTAGCAGCAAATAATTACAGATCAGCAGGGTTAAAATATTAAACAGCAATCTTTACCCAAGCATGGCTGCTACCATGCTTCACCAGGAAGAGAACTCTCACCTGAAACCCACCCTGATCTTGGACTTTTTGCCTTCAGAACTCAGAAAAAATGAATTTCTGTTGTGTAAGCCTCCAGGTTGTGGCCCTTTGTTACAGCAGCCCGAGCTGACATAGAGAACCCACGCCTGCTTGGGTCCAAATCTCATCTTTTTAACCCCAAGCCAGCTGGTTAACTTTGAGCATACTTCCCACCCACCGGGCCCACAGATCAAACGTGTAAAACAAGGACCCTTCCAGAGAGCGGCTGAAGGCTGGCTGCCTCCTCAGTGGTGCCACACTTGGTCCTGGAGTCCAAAGCCGGAAGGCAGTGCAAGGCCATGTCTACTTGGCAGGATGGATCCAAACCTTTCCAGCGGGTGCAAACTAATGTCTTCGACCTGCCATCCTCTCTGTCCCATGGGCTGCAATCCAACTCACCAGAGAGCTCAGACTCACCAGAGAGCACAATGGAACACGTTGCCGGGACAGCTTTATTTCTGTCTAAAAGTCCGCATTGAGAACTGGGCAGCAACTCTCCTCGCTGGAAAAGGGAAGAATAATGGTGTGATGGATTAGTTCCTTGCAATCCGGTGACAGACTGATGGATAAACGCAGTGACAGACCCCACATTTTGTCTCTCTGCAAGTCTCCTCCAAAGAAAAGGTCTTTGTCCTTTCAGACACTCCCTGAAAATGGGATGAAAATATGGCAGAAAGCCCCACTGTCTGCGTAACATGTGTTATTATTATTGTTATTGTTCTTGCTGTTGTGTAAGAGTCAGGATTTAGGTGCTCATACCCAAACGTGGAGTGATGAGGGTGCCACAAGACTCAGATAATGTCTTCCCGCGTCTCTCCTGTTTTGTTAGCTGCTGGATTGGCAAAAGGAGTGAGTCACCAGGACTTAATAAGGTTTTGTTTATCATGTTCTGACTACCTCCCTTTATGGCCTAAATAAACAACACTGCACAATCAATGTAGGAAACCTCTATTCTCCCCCCTAAAAAAGCCTTATTTTTCTGCCTTAAAAGTATGTTTTAATAGTTTGGATTTTTTTTTTTTATTGAGTCCAGAGAGTAAGGGAGAAGGAGAGAGAACTAGAAACATCAATGATGAGCCGAAACCGGTTTGGCTCAGTGGATAGAGCGTCGGCTTGCGGACTGAAAGGTCCCAGGTTCGATTCCGGTCAAGGGCATGTACCTGGGTTGTGGGCATATCCCCAGTGGGAGATGTGCAGGAGGCAGCTGATCGATGTTTCTCTCTCATCGATGTTTCTAACTCTCTATCTCTCTCTCCCTTCCTCTCTGTAAAAAATCAATAAAAAATATATTAAAAAAAAAAAAAGAAACATCAATGATGAGAGAGAATCACTGATCAGTTGCCTCCTGCATGCCCCCCGCCCCTACTGGGGATCGAGTCCACAACCTGGGCATGTGCCCTTGACTGGAACTGAACCTGGGACCCTTCAGTCCAAAGGCCGATGCTCTATCCACTGAGCAAAACTGGCTAGGGCTGTCTGGAAAGTGTTTTAACTGAAATCCCAAGTTAATTCTGGAAATCCCATTTTAATTCTGGATCCCAGTTTAAGTCTGTGAGGGATCGTGCACCTTCGCAATTCTGGTGGGAAAGGGGTGCAGGAAGTCTCTTTGATGGTAAAGGCAAACCTGGACCTTTGAGTCAAGGGTTCTCAACCTGGGCCCCACATTGGGATCACTGGAGAGCTTTAATTTTTAAATTGTGTTTATTGTTGAAGGTATTATAGATGTCCCCCTCCCCTCCCCACCCCCATTGATCCTCTCTACCCCTCTCCTGCCTCTCCCCAGGCCTTCACCGCACTATTGTCTGTGTCCATGGGTTATGCATAAAGGCATATAAGTTCTTTGGTTAATCTGAAACTAATTTTATTTTAATCCTTACCTGAGGATATTTTTTTATTGTTTTTTTTTTTTTTTTGAGAGAGAGATCAATGTGAGAGAGAAACATTGATTGATTACCTCTCGTATGCCCCCTGACTGGAGAGAGAACCTGGAACCTCGGTATGTACCCTGACTGGGAATTGAACCAGAAAACTTTTAGTGTATGGAAAGTCACTCCAACCCATTGAACCATCCAAACCCAGGAAAAGGCGGGGGTGGGTGTGGCCTCAGGACAGCTGGGTCCAAGGACTCCACACTGTCCATTCTGTTTTGCTCTTTCGTTTTTGCTTCTTTCTCCCCTTTAGATTCCAGCTCAGGACCGGCTTCTCCTAGAAGGCATTGCTTCAGCTGCTCTCGCAAACATTCTTACCCACAAAGAAAAAAGGTACTTTTATCACTAGTTTCAATTGGAAAACGTCCTGAGGAAAAACTCCGATTGAGTTTGTGTCATGTCCTCATGATGGGCCAGATTATTGTGGTCAGCGGGGTGGGGCCTGTTACAGAAGGGCGGTGGGGGGTGTGATGCTGAGCAGACGAAAACAATAGCCACTGTGATGATGAAAAGTCAGTTGTAATAAAAGTGACTGTAGTTATTCGATGAATATTTATCAAGCCTCTATTATGGGCCAGACATGGCTCAAGATACTACTTTATGTTATAAAATAAGAAATGGGCGTCACATTTAAAAAATATATTGAGGTAGAGTTTACGTACAGGAAAATTTACCTTTTTTATTGGGATATAATTCACTGAGTGAAATCCAACCTGTTTAAGATACGTAATATTTCATGTCTCCTGGTGCTATTGTAAATGGTAGTTAAGATTTGAAACTGGGACGTGTTGGCCCTTTGACTTGGTTCTTTTGTGAATTTTGACAAACACATACAGTCATGTAAACACTGTAATCAAGATATAGAACATTTCAATCATCTCCCCAAATTGTCACCCGTGTCTTTGTTGTCAGCCCCACCTTCCACCCCCCTGGCAACCGCTGACCTGTTTTCTGCCTCTGCAGTTTTGCCTTTTCCAGGATGTCATTTATAAGAAATCAGACAGCATGTGGTCTCCTTCCATTTAGCATTTGAGATGCATGAAGTTGTTGAATGTATCAATAGTTCCTTCCTTTTTATTGCTGAGTCCACTGTATAGGTTTATAGCACAGTTTATCCATTCACCAGCTGTAGGATAGTGAGGTTGTTTCCAAGTTGGGTGACTGTGAAAGTGTGGCCAGAATATCTGCACACGGGATTTTGTGTAAATGTGCATTTGTATTTCATTTGGCAAATGCCTAGGAGTTGGGCTGCTGAATCATATGATGAGTATATACCAGTGATGGCGAACCTATGACACGTGTGTCAGAGGTGACACGCGAACTCATTTTTTTGGTTGATTTTTCTTTGTTAAATGGCATTTAAATATATAAAATAAATATCAAAAATATAAGTCTTTGTTTTACTATGGTTGCAAATATCAAAAAATTTCTATATGTGACCCGGCACCAGAGTTAAGTTAGGGTTTTTCAAAATGCTGACACGCCGAGCTCAAAAGGTTCACCATCACTGGTATATACTGAACTTCGTAAGAAATTTCCAAAATGCTTTCTAACGTGGCCGTACCATTTTGCATCCCCCCCTTGCAATGTATGAGTGTGCCAGTTGCTCCACATCCTTTCCAACATATGGTATTGCCAGTTTAAAACATCGAAACCTCTCTGTTGGTGGGCAGTGGTATCTCATTGTGGTTTTAGTTAATGACTAAAGATGCTGAGCTTCTTTTTTTGGGGTGCTAATTGGCCATTCTCATATTTTTTTTGGTGAAGTGTCTGTTCAAATCTTTTGCCTATTTTAAAAAAGATATATATTTTTATTGATTTCAGAGAGGAAAGGAGAGGGAGAGAGAGATAGAAACATCAACGATGAGAGAGATCCTGGCCAGCGTGGCTCAGTGGTCGAGCGTCAACCTGTGAAACAGGAGGTCACAGTTTGATTCCTGGTCAGGGCACATGCCCGGGTTGTGGGCTTGATCCCTAGTGTGGGGTGTGCAGAAGGCAGCTGATCAATGATTCTCTCTCAGCATTGATGTTTTTATCTCTGTCTCCCTCCCTTCCCCTCTGAGGTCAATAAAAATATATTACAAAAAAAAAAAAGATGAGAGAGAATCATTGATTAGCTACCTCCTGCACGCCCCCTACTGGGGATGGAGCCTGAAACCTGGGCATGTACCCTGACCAGGAATGGAACTGTGACTTCCTGGTTCATAGGTCGACATTCAACCACTGAGCTACACTGGCCGGGCTCTTTGGCCTATTTTTAAAAACTGAATTGCTTGCTTCTTATTATTGAATTTCAAGTGTGTGTGTGTTTTTTTTAATAAATATATTCTGGATATAAGTCCAGATATAAGATATATATTTTGCATATGTTTTTCCCAGTCTGTGGCTTGCCTTTTCAATTCTCTTAACAGTGCCTACTGAAGAGAAATTTTAAATTTTGGTCAAGTAAAATTTGTGAACTTTTTCCACTCATGGATTATGCTTTTGGTATCTTATCTAAAATATCTTTCTTTAACCCAAGGTTATGGAGGTTTTCTGCCATGTTTTCTTCTAGAAGTTTTATGAGTTTAGGTTTTATATTCAGGTCTATAATCCATTTTTGAGCTAATTACTGCAGATCATGTGGCATCTAAGTTGAACTTCATTATTTTGCTTATGGATGTCCGATCATTTGTTCCAGCGCCATTGAATTGCTTTTGTTCTTTGTGAAAAATAAGTTGCCCATATTTGTGTGACTCTGTTTCTGGATTCCCTATTCTGTTCTATCGATCTGTGCATTTATCTCTTCACCAATACCACACAGTCTTGAATACTGTAGCTTTATAGTAAGTCTAGAAATCAGGTAGTGTGCATTCTCCAACTTTGTTCATCTTAAAATTTATTTTATTTTACTCTTCTAGTTCATATGCCTTCTTATATAAATTTAAGAATCAGGTTGTTGATTTCTACAAAAAATCCTACTGGGAGTTTGATTGGACTTGAATTGAATTCATACTTGGGAAGAATTGGCACCTTAACAATATGAACCTTTCGGTCCATGAACACAGTATTTGTTTCCATTTATTCAAGTTATCTTTGATTTCTTTCATCAGTGTTTGTCAATTTCAGCATACAGATCTTGCACATATTTGTTTCCCTACGTGTTTTCTGTCTTTTGATGCTATTTTAAATGCTCATAGTTTTTAAATTGGGAAACGCAATTTCTCCTACCTTGTTTTTCAAAGTTATTTGGCTATGCGAGGGCCGTGGCTTTTTCATATGCAGTAGTCCCCCTATCAGTGGTTTCCCTTTTCGTGATGTTAGTTGCCTGCATCAACTGTGGCCTGAAAATATTAAATGGAAAATTCCAGAAGTAAACAATTAATAAGTTCTACATGGCCCTTCATTCTGACTATTGTGATGAAATGTCAACCATCCTGCTCCATCCCACCCTGGACGTGAATCGTCCCTTTGTCCAGCGTCTCCACAAGGTAGATGCTCCCTGCCCATTAGTCACTTAGTAGCCAGCTTGCTTATCAGATTGACTGTCCTGGTATCACAATGCTTGTGTTCAAATAACCCTTATTTAACTTAATAATGCCACATTCACATAAAGTTCATTACAGCATATTATTGCATATTCTATTTTATTATTAGTTGTTAATTTCTTACTGTGCTTAATGTAGAAATTAAATTTTATAATAGGTATACATGTATAGGAAATAATAGAGTTTATATAAGGCTTACCATTTCAGGCATCCTCTGGGGGTCTTGGCAAGAATCCTCTGTAGATAAGGGGAACCACTGTGCATTTTAGTATCTGAGAAAAAGGCTTCTGGAATTTTGCTAGGAATGGTGTTAAATCTAGAGATCAATTTGGAGGGAATTGCCACCTTTATCATATAGGTCTTCTCATCCTTGAACACGGGATGTCTCTCCAATTATTCAGCTACTTGTAAATTTTTGTCAGTACTGTTTTTGTAGTTTTCGATGTACAAGTCTTGCACTTCTTTGTTAAATTTATTCTTAACTTATTCTTTTTGTGCTACTGTGAATGGATTTGTCTTAATTTTATTTTCAGATTGCTCATTACTAGTGTATAGAATACAATTGATTTCTTTAAGCTAAAAAATGTTTCATCTATTTATTGATTTTTATATATTGATCTTCTGTTTCTTCTTGAGTGAGCTTTGGTAGCTTGTGTTTTTCTTTTCGTTTCTTTTTTAAATCCTCCCCGAGGATATTTTTTCCATCGATGTTTAGAGAGAGTGAAAGGGAGAGAGGAGGAGGGGAGAGAGAAACATCTATGTGGGAGAGACACATTAACTGGTTGCCTGCTGCCGGAGTCCTGACCAGGGGCGGGGAGTGAACCTGCAATCAAAGTAGGTGTCCTTGACTGGAAATCAAACCTGCTAGCCTTTGGGCTGCAGACTATGCTTTAGCCCCTGAGAAAACTCGCCAGGGCTGGTAGCTTGCAAGGGCTTTGTCCAGTTCATCTAAGTGGTTGAATATGTTGGTATAAAGCTGTTCATATTTCCTGATTATCATCTTCATATTCACAGTATCTGTAGTGCTGTCATCTCTTTAATTCTTGCTGTTGATAGGTTATATCTTGTCTCTTTTTCCCTTGGTCAGTTTGGCTAAGGGTTAATTGAATTTATTGATTTTTTTAAAAGAACAACTTTTGGTTTCATGATTTTTCCCTACTATTTTTGTGTTTTCAATTTTATTGATTTTCACTTATCTTTAGTATTTCCTTCTTTCTTCTTGCCTTGGGTTTATTTTATTTTTCCCTAGTTTCTTAAGGTATAAGCTGAGGCATGATTTGAGATCTTTCATATGATCACAGAACAAACTTTGCTTCTTTTCAGGTTGAAAAAGTTTGCTTTATTAACTAGAATAATCTTGTTGAATGATCCATGTAGACTTGAAAAGAATGTGTATTCTGTCGTTGTTGAATAGAATATTCTATTCAACTCAATTAGATCAACGTGGTTGATTGTTGTGTTTATTCTTACTGATTACCTGTCTACTGTTGTATCAATAACAGAGAGAATAATTGAAAAGTCTCCAAGTGCAATTGTGGATTTGTCTGTTCTCCCTTCAGTTCCACTAGTTTTTGCCTTGTGTTTTGAAGCTCCTTTGTTATGTAACATACACATAATAAATATACAGATTTCAATAGCATTTGCAGAGTATATACTTTTTCATTCTTTACCTTTAACCCATCTATGCTTTTACATTTACCGTGGGTTCCTTGTAAACAACATAAAGTGTGATCTTGCTTTTTAAAACTCAATCTGTTAATCTTTGTCTCATAATGTGTGTGGTTAGACCATTTAC